TGGTATGAGTAAGTCTGTGTATGAGTACGTCTGGGTGTGAGTAAGTCTGTGTGTGAGTAAGTCTGTGTATGATTATGTCTGAGTGTGAGTAAGTCTGAGTATGAATAGGTCTGAGTATGAGTAAGTCTGAGTATGACTAAGTCTGAGTATGAGGAGGGGAGGAGGAAAGAGGAGGAGGAAGAAGGAATAAGAGACGTCCAAATAATAACAAGAACCCCATCTTAGGATATGGGGAACTACTCAAAAAGTATACGGAAAATCCTCACCTGACGATTTGTGCACCATTCTTGAATATTCCTCCTGGACATGCCCGACTTAAGACTACTCAGAACTGACGACCTTATTTTCCCAACCAACCTGTGTTGTTGGGCCCACGGTTTGAAGAGACAGCGCCCCGCGTCACCTCCTCCTCCCGCTGCCCCCCTCCCCCCTCATCTCATCATCATCATCATCAACATCATCATTATCATGCCGTCCTCATCACCATCATCGTCATCATCATCATCGCCGTCATCACCACTATCACCCCTCGCACGTTTCGTGGCCCCATAGGGAGCTCCACCGAAGGCCCCAGTGCCACCGTCCACATGCGTCCCCCCCACTCAGTACAGCGCTTCGTGGCCCCATAGGGAGCTCCACCGAAGGCCCCAGTGCCACCGTCCACATGCGTCCCCCCCCACTCAGTACAGAGCTTCGTGGCCCCATAGGGAGCTCCACCGAAGGCCCCAGTGCCACCGTCCACATGCGTCCCCCTCCACTCAGTACAGCGGTTCGTGGCCCCATAGGGAGCTCCAACGAAGGCCCCAGTGCCACCGTCCACATGCGTCCCCCCACTCAATACAACGCTTCGTGGCCCCATGGGCTCCACCGAAGGCCCAATGCCACCGTCCACATGCGTCCCCCCCACTCAGTACAGCGTTTCGTGGCCCCATAGGGAGCTCCACCGAAGGCCCCAGTACCACCGTCCACATGCGTCCCCCCCCACTCAGTACAGCGTTTCGTGGCCCCATAGGGAGCTCCACCGAAGGCCCCAGTGCCACCGTCCACATGCGTCCCCCCCCCTCAGTACAGCGTTTCGTGGCCCCATAGGGAGCTCCACCGAAGGCCCCAGTGCCACCGTCCACATGCGTCCCCCCCACTCAGTACAGCGCTTCGTGGCCCCATAGGGAGCTCCACCGACGGCCCCAGTGCCACCGTCCACATGCGTCCCCCCACTCAGTACAGCGTTTCGTGGCCCCATAGGGAGCTCCACCGAAGGCCCCAGTGCCACCGTCCACATGCGTCCCCCCCACTCAGTACAGCGTTTCGTGGCCCCATAGGGAGCTCCACCGAAGGCCCCAGTGCCACCGTCCACATGCGTCCCCCCCACTCAGTACAGCGCTTCGTGGCCCCATAGGGAGCCCCACCGAAGCCTCCAGTGGGACCGTCCACATGCGCCCCCCCCACTCAGTACAGCGTTTCGTGGCCCCATGGGGAGCCCCACCGAAGGTCTCAGTGCTACCGTCCACATGCGTCCCCCCCACTCCGTGCAGTTTTTCGTGGCCACATAGGGAGCTCCACGGAAGCCCCCAGTGGGACCGTCCGAGTGCGTCCTGAAACACCCAATGTGGGATTTTCACCCACCCATTACAGCGTTTCGTAGCCCCACAGGGAGCTCCACCGAAGGCCCCCGTGCCACCGTCCGCATGCGTCCCGCACACCCAATGTGGCATTTATACTCACCCAGTGCAGCCTTTCGTGGCCCCACAGGGAACTCCACCGAAGGCCCCCGTGCCACCGTCCGCATGCGTCCCGAAAACCCAACGTGGCATTTTTACCCACCCAATACAACGTTTCGTGGCCCCTGAGTGAGCTCCACCGAAGCCCCCAGTGGGACCGTCCGCATGCGTCCCGGAAGCCCAATTTGGCATTTTCACCCATCCAGCACAACGTTTCGTGGCCCTGGTTCCACCGAAGCCTCCAGTGGGACCGTCCGCATGCGCCCCGGAAGCCCAATTTGGCATTTTCACTTACCCAGTACAGCGTTTCGTGGCCCCTGAGTGAGCTCCACCGAAGCCCCCAGTGGGACCGTCCGCATGCGTCCCGGAAACCTTACTTGACACACCACTCACCCAGAACAGCGTTCCCCCCTACCCAGTGCGGCGCTTCGTGGCCCCATAGGGATTTTCACCGAAGAAGATTTTCACAATTGCGGTACCCACAACTGCCTATGATTTGGTCCTTCGCCAGGATAATTTTGAGTCGGCGATAACCCAGGTTATCCCGGAGGGGGGGGGAGGAGGAGGGGGCCAGCCGATAACCTAACTCTCGCGCTGTGGGCAGCCCTGCATATGCCCGCGCCCCCCCCCCGCGGACCTGCACAACTGGCAAGATTAGCCTGGGGGGGGGAGGGGGGGGGGGACAAGCCTGATAACAAGGGACTGGACTCTATACACCGACGTTTTCTACGGCCCCGCACTGAAATTCGCACAAGAAAGCGGATCCTGGTGTATACGGGATCGTGGCGTATACATTGTTCGTTTTTTCCACGGGAAAACGGGGAAAATAGTATACACCACACCACTCCGACGTCGTCCCCGACCCTCGAAAAGTTCTGGGACTGAAAAACAGCCCGCCACTGGTAATGTATATGTTCCAGCTTCCGAGATACCCCGGGTTATCGCTCGGCCCTAAAAAAACAGTCTCCTGCCCCGAGGAAGGCCCGAGCGACTGCTCCAAGGGACCTCGAAGCTGCCCGAGGCCGTCCCGGACAAGACCCGGGGCCTCGGGCTGCCGGCTGCCTCACCTCGTCGTTCCACACTGCACGGTGGCGCTCACAGCCCTGGTGAGGGCAGCTCGCCAGGGAGTCGTTTCGGAAGGGACCCTGGGACACACAAATAGATACACACAAGCATGACAGGATGCCCCATATATCTTCCCATATGTTCTGGGTCTTGGTCTGCCCCCCACCTCCCATAGCTTCCAACGTTTTCTAGGGAATCGACGATTCGCTGAGCCCGTGTGCTTGTTCCCCTCCTGAGCTCTGCTGGATGGGCCGGCGGGGATGCTCGCAGCGTCGAGAGAAGTCCCTCGGGAGCCACTGCCCCGAGAATCGGCGTCGGCAGAGGAGCGGGCCACGGCTGGCTCCGGAGCCGAGTCTGCAGCTCCCGGATACCTGCATACGACCACCCCGGGGCTCCTCCTCCTCCTCCTCCTCCTCCTCCTCCTCCTCCTCCTCCTCCTCCTCCTCCTCCTCCTCCTCCTCCCTCCTCCTCCTCCTCCCTCCTCCTCCTCCTCCTCCTCCTCCTCCTCCCCCCCCCCTCCTCCTCCTCCTCCCCAACCCCAGGGCTGTGTTTTTCGTTCTCGTTTTGTTTTCGTTGTCCCTCGCTTTTGTCTCCGATCCGCCTCTGCTGCAAAACCGAAGCCGGAGCGAAAGCGGCCCACGAAGTCACCAAAACACCGTCGAGGTCCAGCCCTGGACCACCCCTCGGGTGATGAGCTTGGGGGGGGAAAGAACCAACTGATGGCAATCTTGGTGGTTGTGAGGAGGACGATGCTAGTGATGCGCCCTCGGGTTGGCGACGACGGTTCGTCTTTGCCGATCTCACAATCGATCTCGTAACCGATCTCACGATCGATCTCACAAGAGGTCGCACTAGCGATCTCCCAATCGATCTTACCATCGACATGACAATCGAATTCACTATCGATCTCACAACAGTTCTCACGATCAGTCTCACAGTCGATCTCCCCATCGATCTCACAACGGTCCTCACGAGCGGCCGCACTGTCGATCCCACTGTAGATCTCACCAAGCGATCTCACCATCGATCTCACAACAAATCTCACCATCGACCTCGCGATGGATCTCACTATCGATCTCGCCAACGATCTCACGATTCGGCGGTGGACAAACCTCCCTTTAGTAAACCTCTCTGTAGTGAAAGCGTCCTGGGACAGGAACCGACGGACCTAGACCCGCCAAAATGACGGCCTTCGACGCCCTCTCGCGAACCGAAAACGGCCAATTCCTCAATCGACGTGTCTGGGTAGGAGGTCTGTCCACCCCCGAACGATCGACCTCGCCGCTCTGCTCCGGGACACTGACTCGCGCCGCCCTGCTCCGGGACACGGAGCACCGACGGCACAGCCTGGGCCACCGCGCGCCGGGGGGGGAAGGGGGAGGGGCGGACCGCCAGCTCCGCAGCGGCGGCAGCACTCCTCTCGCGCGCCCACGCAGCTTCGCCCCGCCCGCGCGCACGATGCGGACACGAAACCGCAACTGGCTCCGGGATGGGGGGCTCTCCGTTCCGCTGCGATGTCACCCCCCAACCTCCGATCCCTCTGCAGATGCCGCCGAATAGTCGCTGCCAACCAAACCACGCACAGAGCTGTGACCCATGACTGAGAAGGCAAGTTTGGGCAGAATATCCGGATGGCGGGTACCAAACCTGAGCGCCACAACCGCTTGCGCGAAAGCGGGCACGAGGCGATGGAGAGAGACGCAGGAGCTAGGAGCGAGGATAGATGATGGGCGCGAGGAGAAACAAAAAGAGAAGGGATGAGACACACAACCCGTAACATGTGCAGAACGCACCTGCACACAACCGCCGTGCCTGACCAGGGCCGTCCTGGACGACGACGAGAAGGAGGAGGATGAGGAGGAGGGGGAGGAGGAGGGGGAGGAGGAGGAGGGGGATGCAGGGGCCTCGGAGGGGAGCGTTCTCGAATGGGCCTGACCAGCGAAAGTCGCCAAGGGTGGGGGCAAGGATGCAAGGGCAGCCTTGGAAAGTTGATCATCTTTCTGCCCTCCTTCCTTCCCCTTCCCTCCCCCCGAGCACGCCTGTTGATATTGTGTCGAATGTCTCACCTTCGCAGCCAGCACTGCTGGTCATGGCGGGCCTGTTTTTTAATTATCCGACCCCACTAGTGCGGCGTGACGCGTTCGGGCGTCCAATTGGCCCTCTTCTTCATTTACTGTGCGACTCGACCGTATGCAGCAGCATGGGGCGCAGCCCTGG